TCAATATTACTTTATATTTGGTAGATTCATTCTTTTAATCACGTACATAGAATGTATTTGTGTTAAATGTTTGTATATATTTACTATGTTGTAAGTATTTACTATATTATATGTTATTTGTATATATTTATTATGTTGTCTGTATATATTTATAATATTTACTATGTTGTATGTCTATATATGTTTTTGCTATTGCTACTACAACTTATTTTTATTAGTTTTTCAATTATTTTTTGAATAAAAAATAAAATTATTTTCACATAATTTAAAATATATGTATATTGGAATATTATAAATATGTTGAGTAAATAGCAAGTTATAGTGGCAATAGTGAAATTTGTGGTGACATGTGGTGAACAACAAATTTTGGTGGTAGTAACATAAATTGTGGAGGCATTAGCAATACTTTATATTTAAATCTCATTTTAGAGATTTTTTCATGGTTATTTGAAGTCTTTGAATGTACTATATAAAATCTTTATCAATGTAGAATACAAAAAAAATATAGAATTTATAAAAGATTATACGATTCAATCCATATTGGACTACATTTATAAGATTAACACCTTCAATAAAAGAAGGTTTTGTATGACATTTCTACTAAGTTTGGTAGCATATCATCTTTAAATTAATATCAATAAAATATCTCCATCTACTATTTTATGAAGAAAATCTTAATTTATAACTATATATATACATACGTATATATATATATATATATATATATAATTTAAAATATATATATATAATTTAAAAATATATTTTTTTATATTTTTATAAAAAATTAATTATTTTATCTAAATAAAAAATGAACCTTTGTATTATATTTTCTTTGACTTAACATAAATTAACTCTAAAAATTTGTTGAATCAGTCCTTGAATCTTAAGTTTTTAAATAATTAATTATTTATTTAATATTAATATTTTAAAGGTGGCTTGATCATATTTTTTTTGTAATATTATCTATATATACTTAGAATATACTTAGAATCTACTTAATAAAGAAGAAGATTTATTTTCTTTCATTTTCTAACTGTACTTATGACCAATTTTAATTCAATTTATGCCACTTTTTATTAAAATTATTTTAACAACGAAAGAATTACTATTTATCTGTAAGATTAATTTAAATTTAAAATTGTCTTAAGAATACTTCAAATTTTAAAAATCATTAAAATTTAGAATTTTATTATAATTAAAAATATATTTTTTAAATTTTATTATTAAGACTATTTTATAAAAAAAATTCAATGTCCAATAAAAAAGAAAATGATTTGATCTCGACCAAAATTTGTAATACAGTACTTGCTAAGTATAAAGTGTGAAAATAGATTGAAAAAAAAATGACTTCAAAAATTAAATAATTAAAAAAATTAATGTATATAATAAAGTAATAGGGTTAACATAAATTTAATCTTTTTTAATTACTAAAAATACATTAATTTTTTAAAACAATATACATTGTGCTTTATAAAAAGAAAGAACACTGAATAAATAATAGTATGCATAAATATAATATCAGATATTGTTTATTCTTTAAAGAAATTAATTATATATAACTCTTCATAACCAAAAAAACTATTAGCTTTTATGAATAATTTTTTTTCTAAGGATAATAAATCAAAATAATAATAATAATAATAATAATAATAATAATAGATAAAATAAAAATTCATAGATCATATTAAAATTTTGTCAATAAATTTATTCAAACTGATCCTACAAACACAATACAAGCTTTCTTTAGCGAAAATTTTAAAATAAATTAAGACGATTTCTTAATTGAAAAAAAAAAAAAAAAAAAAAAAAACTTCATTACATAATAAAATTACAATAAATTATTCTTAGTAGCTTTCAAAACAACCACAAACTACAGAAGGTAGTAATAATAATATACATTAAATAATCTATCTATTCGTGTAATTTATTTATCATTATATTAATTTTATATTTTATGATTTTTTAACAATAAAAATAAAAAATTAACCATGGATTTTTAAAAAGTGTTAAAAGATGTAAATTTAGTTTCTTCTTAATCTAAAAAAAGAAATAAAACTGCTAAAAGGATATGTCAAGGAGCTACAAAGTTTCTTAGTTTAGTTTAAGTTAAATTAATTTTTAAAATACTTATGCATTATTTTTTAATAAAATTAAAATATTCCAATTGTAATTAAATCTTAGTTTTACCATCGATTCAATAACTTTTTATATAAATATACTGTGAAAGTTGTAATGTAAAAGTTGTGAACTTAAACTATGTAAATAAAATAAAATGACCTTTGAGATAGAATCTTATATATTCATTACTTGATTTCTTTTGATTGGAGTAAAAAAATTACATTTGCAATAATTGGAACTTATATTATATTTTATTTGCAATATATATGTCAATCTTGGCAGTAAAGCTTAAAATAAAATATAATAAAATGAAAACACAGTAATATTATTAAAAAAAATGGTGCTGCAACAGAGACTTTAAGAAAAAAGAAAATAAAATAGAACCATCCATGATTGACATGGGTCAATTATTTGTCTCTGGATTAATTATAATTCACAAATATATCACCACCTGGTCTTCGACTTTCACGTTTTCGTTTTCGTCCACTTTATACGTTTTCGTCCGCATGGACGTTTCGTTTCGGTTTCGTCGACGTCCCCGCTGAGCATCGCAGCCAAGTCTTGCTCGCTCTGCGCCTGCGAAGGAGGCGAAGATGCTTCCTGAACCGGGCTTTTCAGATGGATCCGAATCGGTGACTCTGGTTTCGTAGCCAGTTTGCGGGCAATAAAAGGCTTGACGGAGTTTCGAAACCCACTTGGGACTTTCAGCCTTCATGTATTTTGGCATGTTATCTTCTAATTTTGGCACTTATCAAATCTTTTAAATTTTATTTTTACTTCTCAATTTTTTTGTTATGTAATTTTAAAATTATGTATAAGTACATTTAATCATGTTTTTAGAAACAACACAATAAGATAAAATATTATAATATTTATGTTGAAATATGCGAAGGTGTTGTAATCAATAAAATATGTAAATTTAAAAGAGGACTTGGTGTGATTAAGAATAGTCTTAGTTTTAATTTAAAGATAACTTCTACTTACAACATTAGTAGTTAATTAATTGGATATTTTAAAGAATAATAAAGGGGTACTGATTTAATTCTTATATATATATATATATATATATATTTATAATTTTGAAGTATTTTTTAAAATGCTTTAAAAGAGTTTTGCATAAGTCTACACATATTTAATAACACTTGGAACACTCTAGAGGAAATTAAGTATTCTTGCAAGAAAACATATATTATGTTAACAATACTAGAAAACTAATTTATTTTCTTAATTTCACATATGCTTTTGTGTATATATACAACTTAACTATGATGGTATTTTACATTAGTATCATATAATTAATCATATTAATATTATTAAATTTAATTAATAATGTACTTAGTGATTGCATTTAAAGATTTTTATTATTATTTACAAAACATATATATTGTTTGAAATTGATATTTTAATTTTAAGATTTATTAATTTAAATGTTTTGTATTGTATGTATGTATATATGTATTTATTAAACCATTTTTTAAGAGATAAAAAATAAAATAAAAAACCATACAATTTGTAATACTAAAGCCATATTTAATAACTATCATAAAACTACTTTAATGATTTTTTGATTGCTAAATATATATTATTTCTATAAATACGTGTCATAATGAGAAAAGCTGAAGTTTTTGTATAAGTTGTATAAAAACTCAAGTTTATGTCACATTGCTATTACATGTGAAAATGAAAAGACTTAATGACAATTTTAATTATATTAAGAAAAAAACTAAGTTTTAAAATTCATATAATAATAATAATAATAATAACAACAATAATACCTGTCTTAAAATCTAATACAAATATATGAGTTTTGACTAATAAAAAACTACCACCAAATTGGATATTAGGGGTAATGATCACTCATATGAGATGTTCATCTAAACAAAGAACTTGACCATGTGAAAAATTCTTTGGCAAAATTATAGCTTTTGATAGCCTAGGGATGATGATACAAGCCTAAAGATAGAACTAGCATAAAACTAAGATTATTTTAAAGCTAAAGTAGACCAACATTAGCTCCAAAAAAGATGTTACATATGAAATCAATGTTGTATTTGTACCACAAATAAATATGAATACAAGTAGCTAATCAAGTGCCATCAACTAAATTTGAATTTTAAACTTTTTTAGTATTACAAACCATTTATCTATATCTAAGAGAACCCTTGGTACATTTCTATTAAATATAGCATAAATTAATTATTCAAAGCAAGTTTTCTTATCTTGTTGACTACTTGCTTGTCCTTTAGTTATACTTTCAAATAAGTAATTTGCATTCTAGTTTACAACAAACAATATTAATAATAGGAACATTGTAGGTGGTTAGAAAAGTATTTAATAAAATCTAATAATTCTTTTTTTAATACGAACAAAATCTTTTTTAAATAAATAAATAAATAAATATATATATATATATATATATATATATACATATACATGTATAGCAAGAGGGAGAAAAGTTTTAAAAACAACAAACATATATATAATTCATGATTTTAAAATAAAATAAAAAACTAACTTTATATATTTTAATGTTTTATAATTCCATATATTAAAACTAATATATTTTTTCATTTAATTAATTTTTTATTTATTTCTAACTATCTATCTTCTTTTAAATATGGATTTAATTTAATAATTTTCTAATGTGTTTTGTAGGTGTATATATATATATATATATATATATATATATATATATTGTTTGCAAAACTCTCTTTAAAACTCAATTTCAAGACTAAATATTGTCATGTAGATTATCATCTATAATGTAAATTTTAATGTTGAAATGAAAGGGATGTTATCTCCTGTCTTTTACCCACTCATTATTCTCAAATATTCGTTTTCAACAACTTCGTAACCATGCACACGATTGTTCATGTTTATCATACTCTGCAAAGAACTGTGTGCTGCATGGTGCACAGCAGCTTCATTTCATTGTAGGGACGACGCATTAGATTCCTAAGAGATCATCGACAAAAAGTTGAGTGAAAATGCTCACACAACGAAGAATAACTCACAGTGCGCAGGACGAAGGGTTGCACAGTGTGGCACATAATGAACCCGCTGTGGTCCAAGTGCTCAGCAATGCAACACAAGCGCATCGCAATTGTTGACAAATGCTGACGAGTTTCAAAGCTTGTGCAATCCTACGAGGGAGTTTAACTAGCACAAATCCTATCACCGCCATGGACCTGCTTTGCTCCTCCCTCCTTGGTGATTTCTCTAACTTGTGGCTGCCCACTTCCAGTGACTAAGTCATCACATCACTTGAATTGGGCTTCTAAGCTGCGCGAGCTTACTTGTCTCACTAGCGTCCTGGGTTTCGCTCTTCCTTGACGAACCATTAGCCATTGTTGAAATGTGCTTTTCGAGCAGCCTGTAGACCATGACCTTCATCCAATCGATACTTGCCCCCTGTTCAAAATTCAGCTCATCACGAAGCTCTGGATATCGTTTGAACCACGCGCACAGCATTTTGTATACGTGTGATCGAATCATGCGCTGAGGTATTGGGTACTTCTCACAGAGTTCTAAATATTCCAAAACTAGTGACGGCTCATTAAGTGAGCCTTCCTTGCTCAGCTCCACCAATCCCCCAGTGACAGCATCCACAGGCCTCATCCTGTGACCGCTGAATAGAGCAGGGTTCTCGAGTAAAGATTCTGCAGACAGCACGCCATCTACACCGGTCATCCTAATGCACTCATGCACATCTTCAAGCCACCGTATGTTGCCGTTTGCCAGCACTGGGATGCGAACAGCTTCTTTTACTGCTTTGATCGCTTCCCAGTCAGCCCTGGTAGTTCTACCATCCTTTTGATCCCGCGTACGACCATGAACAGCCAACAAAGAGCAACCGGCATTCTCCAGCATACGAGCATAAGCAAGCGTGTCTTCCAAGTCCGGAAATATGCGGATTTTGCATGAAACAGGAGTTGTCAGACTAGACACAAGCTGAGTTACCATTAATTGAATCAAAGGAAGGTCATCCATAAGGAAGGCTCCGTAAAAACCTCGCTTCGCAACACGTTGAGGGCACCTGCTCGAGAAAAGTATTAAAAATCTCAGAAATGTTTCCAAAGCAGCTGAAGAACCAACGCTGATCTCCTCTCTCTCTTTCGAAATATATATATACGCACTCTTATTAGCGACACCCTAGTCAAGGAAGATCCGACCGAGAGCGACACGAGGGGGTGTAGATAAGTACCCTAAATTTATGTCAACGTAATCGCAGTCTTCTTGAACAAACATGGCTGCTTTGACCAACAATTCCGGGTCATTCGCACCAAATTGTACGAAGAGTGGGCGATCCTCCTGCCATGTAACTATTGGTCAACGACCTTGATAAAAGGCACAGGTAATCCAAAAGAACAAGTCACCGGAATCACAACCGTGATCACATCGATTCTAATCAATAGAAACCGATCGCCCTTCTTAAAGTTAGCAATAGCGTGAACACCGACCTTATGTGCAATTTTGTGTGCAGATGTGCAGAATAGGGATTAAAATTGGCAAAAATTTGAAGTGTTAAAGATGCCTTCCTTTCAAGCAGCGTGTATAACCACCGGGTGTAAAAACAAATGAAGCGACTTACTGGACATGTGGTGAACTCAACTCGCCTATATCCCGGCTGCAGTGCAAATGGACGAGAATGAAACATAGGTGTGTACGCTGCAGTGGCACCGTATTTCCGGCACAGCATCCTAAACGGCAGCTCACTCTGATCCATCATGGGAGCTACTATCAACTTAGGTGCCCCAAGCTTATTCCAATGATCCCAAGCCTTCTCTAAACTCGACAACGCTGCACCACCACTTTCCCCATTTAAATTATTTGCCGAATTTGCATCTGCATTAACACTACCATGCATCAACTCCAGCATACCCTCAATTGCAACTACCGAATGTAACCTCTTTCACATATGCACAAGAGAATCACTAGAAGCCACAGGTGCCTTATCGTTCCCAGGAATCCGTGAAACATTTTCACTACTAACCTTGTTTTTCAATATTGTCGCACCAGCTGGTTTTTTCTACATTTGATACTCGTGCCTCTGAACAAGAAGCCCTAGAGTTGACGTCATTCATAAAATCTCCTCCCAGGAAGCTTTCTTTTCCTGCGGTTTTCGTGGCCGAAACTAGAATCCTATCTGTGGGAGAGCTTCTACACATAAATTTGTCTCCACAGGAGACAGATTGACCTGCGACATTTAAACCTGACTTCCAAGCCCAGTTACCATTCAGTCTCAAGCCATTGGCAGTCGGGCACGTAGACACTTCCACGCACACGGACCTATTCAAAAGAGAACCACAGTACATGATTTGAGACAAATTCGGGGTACTTGTGGCGTGGGAGCATGGAATTGATAACCCAAGTGTCTTGGCCATCCCTCACAAGCCGGATTCGACACGCTAAGTCGACTTCAGCAATCGCAGCTCAAACTTAGTCTCAGAAGGAACGACATTCAACTGCGATGCAACCACCCATTTTTTTTGATTGCGTTCCCTTCGACTAACTCGCGCAGGAGGCGGAGCTGGCTCATGATTATTCACTTTCTCGCTGCAAACAGAGATCTTTCAAGGCAATTCACAAGTTCCGCTCTGAGTGATCCCTCTTGCTTCCCCAATAACCCACCCTACAGCCCGTTCCCCGACACACCCAGCTCATCCACTGCAACAAATCCTTACGAAATCTACTCTTTTGCTGGGTGACTACGCTAATGCATTCGCAACTGTTACAATGGAGCCATAAATCAGCTACATTGACACACGACCCATAACGGCTTCACCGCCCTGCGTCGTCGAGCAGATTGTCTTATCGTTGCATGTGAGGTTCATGTCAGAGGAAATTGGCAATAGCGGGAGAGCGCATTAAGAACCTCCAATACCCGTATCCGGACTCTACATCGCGCACCCTGGGTCAGGGTCGGTTATATTAAAGGTCAGGGGTGCAAGGTGGGACAGTAAGGCGATTGTTTAACGTATCACGACGATGCACGACGGAAGCTCACCAAGGCGACGATTCTCGTCGCAAAATCGAACGAAATGTGATCGTTAACGAGAGTGTGGAGGTTGAGATCGAGGTGGTAGTAAGTTACCAAATTAGGGTAGGGGGATATACTAATTGGGGCTAGGGGGATGCCGGGTCAGGATGTCGGGCCGGGCGGGGAGACATGCATGACTCGCGTCGGGCGGTGATGGGTCCCCGTGGCCGCGATGGGGATCTTGTCGCGGCTTTTTGTGGGTCCTCGACGTTTTCCGCATGTCGTCCCCGTCCTCGTGCTGATTCACGTGCTGCGTTTTTGCGGAATGTTTCGCACCTTTCCAATGCTCCGGAACGTTTTCAAGCGGTGGAAAAGCGCAGAGATAAGCCCTTTCGAGTATAGTGTGAGTTGCGGCGACTTGGGGTGCTTAGTTTCGTCTCTTTCTCCCTCTCTTCGGGAGCACTGCCTGGGTCGCGCAACGAGTCTCTCATGTTTACCTTCAATTTGCGGTCATGTAAGTGCCTCTCTTTTGATTCGTCGTGTGATTGAGCTGTTAGACGAGTTGCTTTCAGGTGGGTGTCGCATTAGAAAGCTGTATTTCTGAGAGTGTGTTGTGAGGGGCTTGTCAGCCTGGTGTACTCATCATTGAATCGAATAAATGGCATTCGTTTTGCGTGTTTTGGTTGAGAGATCCCTGGACAATAAACTTGGGTGCCGTTTGACAGTCGCCAAAGTCGGGTCTAGGGTATTACATTTGTTTCCGGAATAGAAGCGATGGTATGTTGTAGAATTTTGGTCTTGTCGTTGCAGTACAGGAAGCAGTTGCGAAGATAATTGCAAACCGTCGTTCAGCTGAACTGGCCTGTTCTTTTATTTCATGAGGTATAGGATTGTGTGAGCTCAATGGCCTAGGATGGTGTGATGTTTGTTCGTTTGTGGCATGAAGATGAAAGATTCATACTCGCCGTTGAATAGTCAGGAATTCGGAAAGCAGTTGTGAACGTGGTTTACGTTGGCAGGCTTAGTGTGGCCTTGATATGAGTTATCAGAGCTGCTTTCGCAAGGTCGCTAATATTTGTCACTGATCTTGAAAGCTTGTTTCTATGATCTTCTTGGTTCAGCGTTGGTTTTTTGGTAGGGTTAGGTTGAGGTGATGCTCGTCAAGGTAGATGGGTATCTGATTTCATTGTGATCCTCACGTACCTAGCTTTCAGTTCCGTTTCTGAATGAATAGGTGCTGGCTTTTAGGATATACGCACTATATTGGAAGAGTTGAATCTAAAAGAATGAGGAGCATACTGAATTTGAATGAAAGTGATTATTTATTTGCTTCTGTTCTTTAGAGGAGGTGAATTGGGATTGTTTTTGTGCGAAAACCTTTATTTTTCTTTTTCTTTTTATTTTGATTGGTTGGGTGCTTAATCTAATTTTCTGACCATGTGAAGATTACGCTTTCTTGTGCAGTGCCGCAATTGTGGGCCTCTGTCTGTCGATCGTACGATATCGCATCGCTATCCACATGCTCTACCTGGCATCTTGAATCATTTCAGAGTCTAACCAGTAGTTCCTCCATCTGTTCATGGCTTACCTCATACCTTCTGAAACCTTGCCCTCTACGGGCGCTCGTTTCTATTCTACATCTCTTCTTCCTTTCTTTCTACTTCATTCTTCTCATATATCGAAGGGTGGGCCGCAAACGACATCACAATACTTTTAGACATAGAGTTGGCGCTTACTTCAGAGTGATACAAAGTTGCTGCATATATATTTTCTGCATAAATCTTGGAGTTCTTGCATTTTGGGTTGGAGATGGACTCCGGAATGGATGGTCTGATGTCCCCCTTGACATCGTTGTGTCAGCGGGTGCCCAGAGTGTTGCATGGGGTACAATGTACATGGCCACCGAAGAGGCGTGCAAAGAAAGGTGGAAAGTATTTCCACCACTCTTACGACTGTGGTGGATGGCATCTTTCCTTCTTTCCACGCTCACACTCCTCTCTTCAATCCTATTTTTCATGAGGAAGGGAACACATCTATGGGTTGCAGTGGTGGAGGTTGTCCTCTACCCTGCAGCTCTCTTTGTAGCGTGTGTTGGTCTTCGGGGCAGATCCGGCGTGGAGGCAATTCTTGATGAACAGATTGAAGAGCCCCTTTTGAATGGATCGCAAAATGAAAGTCCTGAGGAGGTGCCTACCGAATTATATCAGAGTGCGGGACTTTTGAGTTTGGCTTCATTAAGTTGGTTGAACCCTCTCCTCAGAGTTGGGAGGAGAAAACCCTTGGAGCTTTCTGACATGCCTCCGTTGCCCCCTGAAGACAGTACTGAGGCTGTGTATGCAAAGTTCGAGTGCAGTTGGAATGATTTGAAGCAGAAAAATCCTGAAGAGACACCGTCAATTTTCTTGGCTCTATTAAAGACGTTCCGGTTTGGCGTTGCTGTGAACGGAATGTTTGCATTTACCAACATCGTGACCAGTTACGTTGGTCCTTTCTTGATCAACGATTTTGTTGAGTATCTGAACGGGAGACGAAGGTTTAAACATGAAGGCTTGACTCTGGTTCTGGTCTTCTCACTTGCGAAACTGATTGAGAATCTAACACAAAGGCAGTGGTATTACGGTTGTCAGTTCCTTTGTTTGAAGGTCAGGGCAGCTTTAACAGTGGTCTTGTACCGGAAAGCGTTGCGGTTGTCCAACATCGCACGACAGAGCCACACAAGTGGTGAAATTATTAACTACATGTCGGTTGACGTTCAACGAGTGATAGATTTTGGCTGGTACATGCATCAAGTATGGATTTTGCCTGTAGAAGTGACACTCAGCCTTGGTATCCTATACAGAGTTGTAGGGATGGCATGGGTGGCGGCTTTATTGGCTGCTATCCTCACTCTTTTCCTGAACACTCCCTTAGAGAAATTGCAAGAGAAGTACCAGGACGGCGTTATGGAAGCAAAAGATAAACGTATGAAAGCCCTGGCGGAGTGCCTGCGTAACATGCGCGTATTAAAGCTTCAGGCATGGGAGCAGAATTTTCTTCTGAAAATAGAGCAACTACGTCAAGGTGAATACAACTGGTTGTTCAAGGATTGCATTGCCAGGGCTTTGGGCACTTACGTATTCTGGTTGTCTCCCATCGTGATATCGGTGGCGACGTTCGGTGCATGTGTGCTATTTCGCATCCCTTTGACATCTGGTCGGATTCTGTCAGCCATAGCTACTTTTCGGGTCCTTCAGGACGCCTTGAGTTCATTCCCAGAGCTGGTATCTGTTTACGCTCAGACCAGGGTACAGTGGCTCAATCCCAAACCTCTGCTCATAATATTTCCTTTCCGTATATTCTACCAAAGATGATATCATACCTTTTGCTAGTTTTCACTTAAGGATTTGTGTCATCGCTTTTGTAGACAATATCGATTTTCAAATTTTTGAGAGGAATTTCACAGCAACTACTTAACTGTCATAGCTGGTACGTAAGGCGACAAGAGATTGTATCATCAATACTCTGATATTGTCTTTGTATCGGCTTTAGGACCTGATATGTTTTTGAGGTTTTGTAACAGGTATCATTGGATCGGATATGGGTCTTTCTGCAAGAGGAGGAGCTACCCACTGATTCGGTGATTCATGTGCCAGTGGAAGAGAGTGGAGATACCGCTATTGAAATTGAAGGAGGCGAATTCAATTGGCACACTTCAAGCACAGAACTTCAGACATTGAGAGGCATTAACTTACAAGTTAAACGGGGATCTCGTGTAGCAGTATGCGGTACAGTGGGTTCTGGAAAATCAAGTCTTCTATTGTCTATTCTGGGAGAAATTCCAAAATTAGACGGCAAAGTAAGCGCCCTTCAAACACGTATAACTATCCAGGATTGGTTGACCGATTTCCTTAGCGGAAGAAACGGTCTCTGATGGATTGGTATGGGATTGGCTTAGTATCTGAAGAGGGCCGTATCTCCTGCTTCTGATTGCCGATTTTCCAAACACGAAGTTGTAATTCTTGTTTCCATGTTTCAGGTCAAAGTGAGTGGTACAACTGCCTATGTACCACAGTCCGCATGGATTCAGACTGGCAAAGTTGTAGATAATATTCGTTTTGGTAAACCCATGAATCGGAGTCGATACGAATCGATAATAGATGCTTGTGCATTGAGAAAGGACTTGGAGCTTTGGGCATTTGGAGATCAGACAGAAATCGGAGAGCGTGGTATCAATATGAGTGGGGGGCAAAAACAGCGAATACAGCTTGCACGAGCTTTATACCAAGATTCTGATATATATCTTTTGGATGATCCATTCAGTGCTGTTGATGCCCACACGGGCTCCCAGCTTTTCCAGGTTCTTATACTACCCTCAAGCACCTCCGTGTTCTCCTACCTTGATGTATGCTAATTATGGTAGTTCAGTGCTCACACCTACATAGACTTGTTGAAAAACTAGATTTGTCATATTTTACAAAAAAAATACTATCGAAAATGAGTGCTAATTTTGATTAATGTTGTATCTAACTACAGAAATGTATACTGGAAATATTGGCCGCTAAGACTGTGGTATATGTGACACATCAAGTTGAATTTCTACCTGCAGCAGATCTCATTTTGGTACGTCACTGCCATCCTTGATTCTTTTGACAAGCACGTTATTGTCTGCTCGTGAATGATTTGCGGGTATGTAAAGTTTCGTGATAGATTACGAAAATGGAGCTTCTTTCTGTAGCTAGGACAACGACTCTTTTAGTACGAGAGTAACTGAGCGACTTTTTGTGGAGCAGGTGTTCGACAATGGTTCAATTGTGCAAGCTGGAAAATATGAAGACTTGCTCCAGTCTGGCACTAATTTTCAAAGCCTAGTGAATGCACACAATGAAGCAATTGACGGAATGGAAGCTCATGAGCAACCAGAAGGTGTATAATCTCTTAGTTGTCTAAAGCATGATTTTGATGTCGCCTGCTTACAAACTCAACTCGAGTCTTTTGCGAGAATTGTTCATTTCCATTTTTCGTGATTGAATTCTTCAAATCTTTGAATGTCCGTTCTGCAACCGAATACTTAGAAGCCTATGAATCCTAGAATCTGTAATGTTTTGGCAACTGTATTCATCACTTCGGTTTTTTCATTGTTAGACCCGTCCTGCTAACCTATGTGTTGAAAATTACGTCAATTAGTTAAATCTACATTGGACCAGAATGTTGTATTTCACTGAGTTTCTTCTCTCCTTCGATATGGTTCTGCAGATGAAGAAGTGATACAAATGATGGACGCAGAGGTCGTCAACGTTGCTGGATCGTTGTGTGCGGATGGTCAGTTCCAGAAGCAGAGAAGTCTTCCAAAGTCCAATTCAGTTGTACGGAGGCAAGCCAGTAAAAAGGGGGATGAATATGAAGGAACTCAACGTCAACTCATCGAAGAGGAAGAGCGGGAGACAGGTAGCATAGGCTTTGGTGTTTACTGGACTTATGCAATCGCAGTCTGCAAGGGCGCCCCTGCTATTGCGGTTATAATGTGTCAGTTTGGCTTCATGGTAATCTTTCGTATTCCCTGTACACATTATGATCGTATGATTTTTCTTTTCTTTGGATATATTATGGTCTTATTTACAGGTAAAGTGTGATTTGCGTAAGTTGTTACTTGAAGTGATCCACCTGGATAATTCAGCTCATTAGCTTGGTTTGTTGACCAACTGCAGCTTGTTCAACTTGGGAGCAATTATTGGATGGCGTGGGCTGCACCAAGCACAGAGGGTGATACAGGGAAGGCGAGCGGTACAAGGCTCATACTTGTCTACACTGGATTATCATTTGGAAGTTCATTGTTTGTGTTAACACGCTCTGTGGTAGCCTCGTTGGCGGGATTATCTATCGCCCAGACGTATTTCCTCAGGATGGTTCGGTGCATCTTTCGGGCCCCAATGTCCTTCTTTGATTCGACGCCTGTGGGGCGCATTCTTAATCGAGTATGTGACATCCTCAGTAAATCATTTCTGTATTGTCATCAAATCGGCGGTCTTTCTCACAAATCTAGTTTGAGGTTGTTACATTCGTAGCTTTGGAAATATATAGATGTTGCTTCTGTCTTTTTCACTTTGTACCTGAGAAGCTTTACATGACTTGTAATAAAACAGGTATCCTCAGATCAGAGCCAGTTGGACTTGGAGATTCAGTATTCGTTGAGCAGTTTAGTGGTGGTCATCATCCAACTTCTGGGAGTAGTGGCAGTGGTATCAACAATCAGTTGGAGAGTCCTGCTTTTCGTTCTTCCAGTTACCGCATTGTGTTTATGGATGCACGTAAGCTTTTATCTTAATTTTTTAATTTTATTTGATTTCGCTTCTCCCTTTTTCTAGATGTGTGTGTGAAGTTTACAAGTTTACAGCAAATGTGTTGAAAACAAGTGGAATATGGTATATGAAATTGGGTTGGTTGTTTATGCAGCGCTACTACGTCGTATCGGCTAGAGAAGTTGCAAGGGTTATGGGTGTGGAAAAATCACCAATATTGAACCACTATGGTGAATCAATCCCTGGTGCAGCAACGATTCGCGGATTTGGTCAAACACAGCGCTTCATGGACACAAACATGCAGCTTTGTGATAATTACGCGCGCCCCTGCTTTTTAAACTTCGCTTTGATAGAATGGTTAACCTTCCGACTGGAACTGCTGTGTACCATCGTCTTCTCTTTCGCCCTAATGATCGTGTTATTATTACCAGCCAACGCCATTGATCCAAGTAAGTCAGTTGCCAACTTTTCGGGAAAAATGTTTACATCAAAAACATTTGGAACGTACTTTGCGCTTTGACAATTATTGCCTTTTTGAGTCTCATCCCACGGAGTCCTGTCGATAATATTGCTGGTCATTGAGTTGTGTGTGTTTTATGCTTGAAATAGATGTTTTGAATACTGATTACACAGGATACATGAGCTTGTCATGCGTGTAAACCTGATCTCAAGCTTCTGTTTTTTGTCTATTATTGTGCAGGTCTAACTGGTTTAGCTGTTACATATGGTTTGAACTTGAATATGCTCATCGGATGGTTTATTTGGAACCTTTGCCAAGTAGAAACAAAGATTATCTCTGTTGAACGTATACAACAATACACCCGAATTGAGAGTGAAGCTCCTTTGGTGATTGAGGACAAGCGGCCGCCACCTTCATGGCCCAGTCGGGGAACAGTGGAACTTAAACAATTGCAGGTCCTTTTGATAGTTCCTTATCTCATCTGGGGTCTTATTAGTTATGTGAAGTGTTTGTCGATTATCCATTCGTTTGAGGTTATCCTTGACAGGATAAAAGTCATGGTTGTTCCATATACATTAGCTGTGTTTGAACTCATTTTTTTCTCCTTCAGAAGGAAATTTTCGATATTGTGGGTTTAAGTTTCGCTTCTTGATGGACTTTATGCAGATCCGGTATAGTGAGCATTCGCCACTGGTTCTACATGGTATCACGTGCACGTTCTATGGGGGTAAGAAGATTGGAGTAGTTGGTCGCACTGGCAGTGGCAAGGTAATTTTAATATACTCCATCCTAAAAGAATGAAAATCAAAGGTGGCAATGTGCGATCAAGTTATTGCGTGCTGCTGAAGTTTAACATCGTGAATTCAATGGTTATTTATCTCTTTTTCTTGATTCTTATGTTATTTTTTTGTAAGGGTTTCACTTCTAGTTGGCAGAACTTTTTATTTGCAAGTTTGAGTACTTCCTAAGTAGTGAAAGGTGTAAACAGTCGACTCTCATCCAAGCCCTCTTCCGTATGGTCGAGCCGGCAGGAGGCAAAATCCTCGTTGATGGCTTGGACGTGACAACTATCGGATTGCAAGATTTACGGTCACGGTTGAGCATCATTCCCCAGGATCCGACTCTTTTCGAAGGCACAATTCGTTCGAATCTTGATCCTTTGAATGAGCACACAGATATAGAAGTTTGGGAGGTGAGTAGCAAATGAGTTTGTTGACAAGCTAATGCTACCTGATTAGTCATATCAATCGTCCGTTGCGTACATTTTATGCTTTTTTCTTCAGAATTTATGTGCAGTTTTCGATTTCAGAGCTTAACATACGGATAATCAAAACGCAGAGCATGCGATTGATTTTGTTGTGTCGTTGTGTCCTGTGTAGGCACTCAATAAATCCCAGCTGGGAGATGTTGTGCATGCCAAGGACGGAAAGCTTGACGCCACAGGTATTTATCGTTTCCAGTGTTTGAAGCAATCGTCTGTGTTTCTATGCAAAGAATCCCCAGAAAGACTGTTAGAATTAGTAATCGTTGAGTCGATCTGCGAACAGTACACTCGGATATACCAATTTAATATTGCTGCACCTGTAACTTTCTGACGGCTACTTGGTGATTGGGATGCTGATGACTTAGTTGGGGAGAACGCTGACAACTGGAGTGTCGGTCAAAGACAGCTGGTTGCCCTGGGACGGGCAATACTGAAGAGAACTCGGATACTCGTCTTGGATGAGGCAACTGCTTCAGTTGACAGTGCTACTGATAATGTCATTCAACGCACCTTGCGTACAGAATTCAGAGACTGCACTGTCGTGACCATTGCGCATCGTATCCCAACTGTTGTTGACAGCGACAGAGTGTTGGTCCTCAGTGATGGCAAGTGCTTAAAACTCCTCAATATGACTAAATCTTCTCATCTGATTTGTATTGCTAAATTTCCTTAGCAATTCTACAGCTTGTCAGGGTCAGACTCTTTATCTCAAGTATTCATGCAGTGTTTTGTGGACATTGCAGGACGAATTGCGGAGTTTGATGTACCGGTGATGTTGCTGGAGAATAAGAACTCTCTCTTCGCAAAATTGGTGGCTGAATACTCAGTGCGATCCACGAAGTAGCTATCTTAGGTTATTTTTACATCCGCATTTGATATTCCCAGTTCAGAAGCTTTTAGTTACAAGTGCAGAAGATTTCACTTGTGAACAAAAGCTTGAATGATCTTTAGGAACCAATTTGCCATGGTTCATTACTCTACACGCTATATGTAAGCTTTTTTCAGGTGCTTGCACTGTTTGTGATTTGTACATTGAGATTTGTGGTATGGAGTATTACTTTGGTATTCAAAGTACAGATATTCTGTGCTGTGCATAATATATCTGTTAACAAAATACAAGTGTAATACATTTATTTTGCCATGGTGGATTTGGGAATTAGGAGAAGAACATGTATGTCTATCTGGTGCTTTCCATGAACACACCATATCATGTTAGATGGAGTAGCAGTGACATTGTTTATCATAGAAATTGCTTTTTTATTATTCTTTTTGTTGAGTTACAGTGAAGCCTCATGTATGAATATTTTTTAACTGAAAATAAATGAATACAAACTGCACACATACACGTATTAGGAGGTGGTACTACATAAGAATGGAGACAGGTAGAAGGTTAGAAAGTGGGTAAAAGCATATAGACTAGTAGGAATTAGAAAAACAGTACAGTCAATGGTACAAAAGTTGCATATGAAAGAACTGTTGCATACTTTGTTAATGGATGTTAGGATATTGTGGTTTAAGTCTAGAAACAAAAATATTCATGAAAAGAAGTTAGGTTGGTAATAAATATTTCTTTGTTAAATAACCAAATAATATGTTGCATGATAAAGAAGTTGGATTAGAGTAAGTGCATGTAGGAGAAAATTGTGCAATAGCACCAACTTTAAGTGTTCCATGAGCTAAGTAATGATATGATTGTGTTAGATTCTAGTATGGGTATTAGTATCATTTTCTTATGAGCTTAACAACCATTTCTATAATCTTTGGATATTAGTATCATTTTCTCATGTAGTAAAAAATTTATATATGTAAGTAAATCTAAAAGTAAAAGAAATAAATTGGTTATGACATTGTGAGTACTTATAAAAGGTTTAAGATAATTTTTAATTTTTTTTTGTTAAGAACCAAAAAATGTTTTGATTTGTATTAGATGTAACACTGTTTTTTTTCAAAAAAAAATTGTTAGGTAGATATCCTTTTTTTCTTATGTAGACACCTCCTATTTATTGCATGGATTCTCTTCTTCCCCCCTCTTTTCTAATATCAAACCAACAATACAATATTACAAGTTATTCAACAAGCTCAAAACTAATGAAATTAAAAGGTGTAAAAACAACAACATATAACACATGAATATTAGCAATATTAAAGCTAATCAAAGCAAACAAAATAAATAATAAAAGGGAGGAATCCACCTCACAAAACTACTAAGTGGATATTACTATTTATTTATTTTCTTTATTTAGGTTCTCTATTGTTAATATTTTTATATTGTGTATTGCTTTTGTTTTATTGTTGTTGTGTATATATATCTTTTCACCTTCAATAGTGTCTACCTTGTTGAATAACTTATAGCAATAGTATATTGTTGATGTGGCATGAAAGAAGTGTCTGCATAGTAAAAGGGGAGTATCTATCTAGTGGTTCTCTTTTTAAATTAATCTACTTCTTTATTTAAATAATTTAATCCTATTGAGAAGTTATAATTCTTATTGTATTATAAAAAGAGGTAATCTTATTCTTTTCATATTAGATCATGTATCAATATAATATTTTGTGATTAATTTTTTCAAATAATATATCAAAGAAAATCTTTTTTTTAAAATTATTCATAATTTATATAAATGCAAGATAATAATAAAAATTATTTTGAAAATATATTCTATTTTATTATTGAATTTATATATATGAAACCTAATAACCTATTGTAAATATTTTTAATTTTAAACTTTTTATTTTTATAATTATTATTTTACAATTATATAATACATAAGAGAGTAAAAAATAAAATGAACTTCATAAGTTTGCAAAAATATTAAAGTACCTCAAAAAAATGAATCACAGTTAAATTTTATAGAAAACATCTTAGAAGATGAAAGTACAATTAATGGTTATAAATTAGACTTCAATAATTATAAGTTGTACAAAAGTCATATTAGTGATATATTAAATTATAAACTTAAAAATTATGTTCAATATGTTTATATTGAATAATTTTCAGCCATTAATAGTGTTCCATATTATAGTAGAGAAACCACCTTAATATTTGATCATTGTTGAAACCTTCATAACTTCTTTTCAACAAAATATTTGGAATGCTATTAAGAACAATTGCTATTCCAATAATATTACTAAATATTGGAAGTCTTTTCCATATTCGTGATATTAAATATATTATATCTTGTCATCTATTTGAAGAAGAATATGTTATTTTTGATGATCTTTATATCTATTATGTCATCTTGAAGGTTGTGACAATTGGAATGTCTTATCCAGTAACTCCACAAATGATAGTTCTTGAATTGAACCTATTGGTTGTTAATTCTCCATCTCTTTAGTATCTCAATTACAAAAAATTCACAAATAATGATAGAAGAAAAAATGAAATCTTTATTGAACCTAATTTGCTTTATAGCAAACATTTTTTTGACTCTTTAAGGTCAAAATCAAATCCCAAGGTGCAAAACAACATGTCTATGTTGTTTTTAAGGTTCTTTTGCTAATTAGAGAATAAGATTAAAAAAATACTTAAAGAAGATTGTTTGAGCCTTCATTTCAAATAATTAAGAGCTACGTGGAAACATTCTATATATCCTCTAACACATGTATAACTTGTGGAATACATATCTAACTTGTAAGACAAGTTTTTTACATATGCAACACATGGCCAATTTGTTGGCAAAGTTTTCAACATACAAATCACTCACAAATATGTATTAAGTTAAAACCATGTGTATAAAGCTTATAAGAAGTTATCTACATGATTGTGAGGCCAAATTTCACCACTAGATGAAACCTATGCCACACAACAAGTGCAAGAGGTGGAATTGGAGAGCTCCCAATTGTGTAATTGTTAGATTAATTTAAATCTTTATATTAAAAATTCAATTAGTTATAGGCCTTCTAAGCAATGGTTACCAACATTAAATTAACATGTTAAATGAAATTTACTATGCAAACATAGTAAAAATAATTAACTAAGTTATTACTATTAATTGACCATAAGAATAAAAACTTAAGTTTGAATTAAAATTTAAGTTAAAATTTAAGTCAAAAATTAAGATTAAAAGGTTAAGTTAAAAGTTAAGATTAAAGGTTAATTGAAAAGTTAAAATTAAAAGTTTAGTTTAAAAGTTAAAAGTTAAAGTGAGAATATTAAAGGTTAAAAGTTAAACTTAAAATTTATTAGCCAAAAAGTGAAATGTGGAGATTACAAGTTACTATGAAGATGATAGTAAAAATAAAGTAAGAGAGGTAAAAGTGAAGGTACCTTGACAACACGTAAGGATTGAAGGCAGCGACCCCCTTCTACTCCAAAATTTGCCAAAATTTGTAATCGGCTTCAATTTGAATGATTTTTAGCTTGTTGCAAGGATAACTTGAAGGCGCTTTTGATCCAATAATTTTAGTTGCAATCTAATGAACTAGTCGTGAGAATTCCTCCTTTGAAATTGAGTGATCCAAACTGCAGCGGTGACCAACCCTCTTCACTTAAAAATTCACTAAAAATTCAAATTGTCTTAAAATTAAAAAAAACTTGTGCCTTTCAGAGCTCAGCTTATAATTCTTGATTCTACCAAAATTTTAAATAAAACCAATCATCAAGCACTGAGAAATGCCTTTCCAAACTCGATTGATTCAAAGTGCAAAGGCAGTCGACTCCCTCAAACTAAAAAATTCACCAAAAATTCCTTCTTACTCCAAATCAAGCGAATCTTATCTTGTCGGAAAGCTAACAACAAAATCTACAAATATTCAGAATCTCACATTAAAAAAAAAGAAACTAAGTGACTAATTGAAGAAAATCCAAGGCCCTTGAAACCTTTGGAGTATTTGAAAGGCCGAGGAGATATCTACCTCAATGAAACATATTTTAAAACTTAATGACCATCCTTCACAATGCAAAATCCATACATAAAAAATCACAAGGTTTACAATGAGAATTAAAATCTAAATAAAATTAAGATTAGGATTTTGGCCAAATTTTGGCATGGCTCCACTCTTCAGCCAAAAGAGGAGAGAGAGAGGGCTTGGAAAACCAAGCCTCTCTTATACAATTGAGTGGAGGCTTGTAGAAGGGTAGCTACATCTTCACCCTTGATTTTTAAGATCCCTAATCTAGATCTATGGCCTTCATTCATCCAAGAGCCAATCTCATTACCAAGGTTGATGGCTCTTGTAAGTGGTCAAAAAAGCATTTTTTTTATAAATCTAACATCATTATTGTGTTCAAAACACCTTTTTAAGCTAAGATCGACTACTCACATGCCTCAATCCATGCTCAATTATAATTTTCATGGAAGTTTTTACTTACAAGGATCTTGGTAATTTTTGTGAAATTCTTCAAAATTAGAATTTCATTGCTTCTCTTGTATTTTGAAGGAGAGGTTGCTGATCTCATTTTTTTCACTCCACGAGGTAAATCTGGTGCTACCATTGCATTAAAAAAACTCCTATTAAGTAGAAGAACCACCATGCCACTTGAATTTGTCAAATTTGGAGGAAAATCCAAAATTAACATTGCTAACTTCTCTAAATCTTTTAGAGAATTATAATTCCAACTCCTAAATTATGTGAATGATTATAGATGCACTCATATGCTTTTAGTCAATTCTTATAGTAATGACTAACAACCTCTAAATTATTAAACTAATTAAGTTGCTATTCTAATTTTCTAATTCTTATTACTTTAGTCCTAATTAACCTAATTCAAGGAATTAGGCTATAATTTATACCATCAAGGGTTGTAATCCTAAAAATTCTATAAAACTAAATTCCACTTATATAAATCCTAATCTAACATGTTTAATTATCATAAAATAGAAAAATAACAAAAAATTTAAATTTTAGAGTATAATTGAGAGCTCACAATGATATTATCAAAATTTATTTATTTTTATCTACTTCTATTAGCAAATCCTAACTTACATTGCTTTAGAAGGATGAACTCACTTCTCGCCATCTTCACATGATGCAAGTACTTTCTTACTTCACTCTGTTTGATGCTACTATGCTATTGAGTTATCTTCTTATATCCACATCAAATTCCACATTCAATCATCAATCGTCCACATCAGCCCTAATACCATCTCATCTCTTTGTATCATGATGACTTATTTACATCATTACTCATACTACCATA